GTTATAAGAATGGAAATATCCATTATCCAAGTAGTCACTATTTCCATTTTTTTCGTTTTAATAGATGAAATTTCAATTTCAATAATGTAAAAAAAAATTATTTTGTTGGCATATCAAAAAGATAATGAATAAAAATCATCTACATCCTATATAGAGTTAAGTAAAAAGTAATAATATTAGCCAACAAACTATTTACAGTAATATTAAAGATCAAATATTTATCAATAGAATAATATGGACAACTTGCTGGACAGTGAAATGGTATAATTTAATCTTTTATCAAATTGAAAATGGAAATTGATTTCTTAAATAATATTTTAATAATTGCATATTTTATTTTATTGTTTATAATTTTATACCTACGAATAAGAAAAATTGCAATTACCTTAATTATAATATAAAAATCTAAGGTTAAAAAAATACAAAATTTGTTTGTTTGTTTTTTAAAAATGTTTTGTTTGTAATATTTATTTATTTATTTGTGGGATTATTGTATAATTTAGTTTAATAAAATAGTAAGTTTTTGTACATCAACCGTCAAAAGTAGCTGAAGTTCATTGTTATTAACAAGACGACCTTTATCTTACTTGAAGACAAACATTTCCATAAAATAAACAAATGGCGTTTGAATACTTGGCTTAGAGAAAATAAAACCAAAACTTTGTTGGTATATTTTATCAAAAACTGTAATTGACTCTAATGATAATAAGTAGAAATTATCAATGTTTTTTTTTAATATTAATTTTTATAAGAATTTTAATACCCGCCTTATCCCGTTTGATTTGTTTTGTCACCTTTATTTAGCTAAACATGTAAATAAACAATAAATAAAATATTTCTACATATTAGCTATTGGTAAATTTATAAGTACTTGCAGTGCTTGGTTTTTTTAATAAGCTGTATTGGATCAGCCTCTCTAATACATTAACTTAACACCATTACAAAACAGTATTAATTTTTATACACCAGATACCTACATTATATTTTAATGATATTTAAACAAAATCTTCAGCTTAACACTTTTCTTCATACAAATAATAACATTTATCACAGGCGCGGATCTAGAACGTATTTACGGGGGGGGGGGGGGGGCAAGGGCCATGCCCCCCCCCCTTGGATCCGCGCCTGATTTATCATTTGTGTTATCCGGAACAGGAAGACCCATTTGAACTGAAAACCACAAAATACTATATTAATTTTATGGACTTACATGTTTATTATAAATAATAGATCAGCTGATTACAATTTTACATTTTACATCAGTAAAACTGTAAGAGCTAAGAGATACTATATATTTACTACTTGGTAAATAGCATTTACCAATAAAGTAAACAAAAAACAGCTAAAATGAAAAGAAATTAAATGTGTACAATTTAAGTATGTACTTGGCTAAATAAGATTAATGTATTTAAAAAATATTAATTACTACATACCATTAAGTATGGCAGTCACCAGTGGTTTCAAATAATTAGAAACTGTTTGATCACTTGTCATTAATTCATATTTATAAATTAGTTCTTCAATTGTAGGTAGGAGATGAACAAACTACCAAAGTACATGTTAATATCACCCTGGAGTAAATCCAAGCTTATTGAAATTGGCCCCATAATTGTATGATGTTGACACATGAAATCAATAT